TTTCTTTATCATAGCAGAGAGGTATAATTAGGAGGCTGCTTTAGGGTCACTAGTATTGAATAAAATTGGAAAGTGAGTGACCAGCAAAAACATTCTACTCCTGTTGCAGAAAAGTGAATGGAGAAAAAACTTTTCTCCATGCTAAAAGGAATTTCTTCATTTGGACAGTTATGTATTTTGGGAGCAACAATATCAGTGCCTCTGTTTGGTACGTTTGCTCATGTGTTCTTGGTTCCTGAACTTCTTTACACTTCCCATATCGGGAATTCAGACACTGTTTGTAACAATTCTTTCCTGTTGCTTGCTTGTTCTGCTAGAACAGGCAAGAATTTTCTCTAAACTGTAGTGTTAGTGTCTCTCTGGGGTACTTTAACTAAATAAAAGCTCAGTGTCCAGAAGCCATCAGTCTTACTCTGTCCCTCATTCACCCTTCCCATCACCCGCCCGCCTTCAAACTAATCAACCAAACTCTGGGCGCTTTGAAATGTTTAGTGAGAAAACAGTTCTGTTTTGACAGACAGCAATTACAGCAGCTGGCTTAAGGCAGATTTTACAGCTCTTTAGGGGATCCCTTATGAATAGTAACCATGAAGTTGATGTAGATTTATACAAACAGGCTTTGAGGCCAAAAAAAAAAAAAAAAGTGCTTCGTTCCTATCACACAGTGTCTCTCAATGCTTGGCTATAGACTTCTCTTTGAAAGAATTACTTTGGGAGAAGAACTAGAACTATCACAGAGTAACCTCAGACTGCCCCTGTAGAAAAGTCTATGATATGAAGCAGCCTACCCTCCACCAGGTAGCTTCCTCTATCAATTGAACTAAATTTATTTTCTGAAATACGTTCATGATTTCACAAGTTAAAAATGCAACTGAGGTTATATACACAACAGCTGTCACTAATCTTTATTGTTGCCACAACTTGTTTGCTCAGGTGACCTGTGGGTTCCAGCATTACCATCCATTTGTTCTCCACAGTTATTAGAGGAAACTGTTAGTCACAACACCTAAAACAATCCCAATATGCAAAAGCACTGTGACAAGCAATCAAATACAAGAAATCATCACTTGTGGGCTTTCTGGTTGTGTACTGTAAATACTAGCTCAGCCTTCTATCTCACACAGGTTGACCAGAAATATGGCACATGTAATTAAAGACTTCTCAGTCTGATTTTATTTTTGTTTTATTTCTTGCAATCGCTTTTGGAAAATTCAGTGTTTGAAACTTTCCTATCCCAGCTGGGATATTCCCTCTTTGATGTAAAAAACTATTTCTTGTCATGGTGTTCATAGACCCTTCTAAAAACTTAATTCTTGCTTTCAAGAATATGTTACTCTGTTTTTCAGTTAACCTCTTAACCTTTCCATGGAGCTGTGTCCAGGAAAAAAAGTTTCAGCATCATCTCTGTTAAAGCATGCATCGTTCTCCTGTGAACCTGCAGGAAAGAGAAGAACTTCTGTCAGTCTTTTGAGAATACTTTTGCAATCAGATGAAAAAGCAATTATCTTTCTAAGGAACTCTGGCACCACATGAAATGTATTAACATTGATCCCTTAGAGAGCTATGTCTTGTAATAAAGTTTGGCAGCCCTGCTACAAGAGTTAATGTGTTCTCACTGCTGCTGTATACTATTTCTCTTTAGTAGGTTGAATCAATTTTCTCTGCTCCTTTTCTCAACCTTTAATGCTAATATACTTCCAAAGAGTTATAAATATGTATATACTATAGTTTCCTAGAAACAATCTTTTTTTGTCTTGTTTAGGATTTTACTAAATGAGCTCAGTTAAATTAATGGAAGGCTGCAAGAGATGCAATTCTTTAAAGATGTTGGTGGATTTAAATGACCCCAACCCATAATGATGGATTTCATTTTGCAGCTCACCCACTGCTCTCTAGACATGCATCAGTCCTGGCCGCAAGACCCTGGTAGTAGGATTTGGGCTGCAAACAGGTTTTGGGGCGCAGTATTTGTTAATATTGAACTGCATCCCCCATCACGCATAGTGGGAATACACATCACAATGTCTAGATTTATCTGGAACTCCAATTATTAGTCTTCTGCTTTCTAAAGTATCCCCAGTTTTGATCAGCACTTACAACAATCTATTGTACTAATTCCAAATGTTTTCCTTTATGTGTATCACCACATTCTAATTGAAAACTTTTACAGACAACCACATAAGCAAGCCATTTAAATGTTTTTAACATAGTCTGTGGCTTATGGGAATCACACATATATTAAGGGATATGAAAACCTCTAACCCTTTCTAATAAATTGTTGTGTTTACTTGCATGTTGCACTCACCACAATAAATGTAGCCCTATCAGTGCATGCACACACACACGATTGGGAGACACTGGTTTATATCCAATATGTGAGAATAGTAAAGTATGTCCTTGTGAAAAAAAAACATTTTTATGCTGCCCAGTAATCAGAAGAGTCAGAATATTCTCTTGTACTGATTTAACAATTTTAAAAGTCAAGTTAATAGCCATATGATAATTTTTTGTGACACAGATTTTGTGTGCTTCCTTGATAATAGATCCAATATATAGTTATTCTTAATTAAGTATTTGCCAGTCTACTTGATGGGTGTAACAATGTACCCCGAGAATGTTAGCGCATTTATTGTTGCATGTAAGATACTGTAGTTTATTTCTAAAATTGTTATTTTGAAAGTTGGCAGCTATAGGATGTGAACTCCAGCAACAAGCTGCACTAGTATGGCTCAGACCTATTATTTCACTTAAATAATTGCAAGGCTGTCCAGGTGTCCTGATGTAAAAGCTGTTCACTCAGACAGGAAATTGTATCTTGTTCTGAGGTTTGTTTTGTAATAAAATCCATAGACCTGAGGAATGGAGCTGCTGGGTCCATAAATCATTTTATGAGTGGACTGTTCTGACCTCAGGCCATGGAATTTTTCACGTCATTCCACTGTGGGAATAATAGAAATGTAACCAACACATGGTCTTGACCCTTGATGTATCTTTAAGTAGGAGACCAGTCTATAAAGTCAGATCTGAGATGTCTTTGTAGTATTGGTTACAAACTATCAGTATCTGGATAGTTTCTCCAGAAATGTGAAGATGATTCTTAAATAGTTTTTAAAATTCCAGAAAAAAATAAGGTTGGAATTATACAAAACCCTAATTTCTATTTGGAAATAAGAAAATATTTTGTACCTATACTGCTATTGTCTCTTCTGACAAACAATGATTTATAATCTACAGTAAACATTCTGACAGTGAAATAGATCTGCAATATGGCAATCTTCTGGTTGTCAGCAATAAGATCAGGACTTGAAATATTGAAAAGTTTCTGTTGAAAATGTTTAAAATCTAGAACATAGAATTTTTTAAAAAATATATGTTTAAGTGATTTGTATTGTTTGTGTGTGTGGTTTTGGAACCACATAATGTTTGGGGCTCTGGGGATTGTAAAAAGGAGATTCAGGAAACACCTATAGACCATGGATTTTTCAGTCGTATTTTAAATATGAGCAATCTTTAAAGGATTCTTAAAGCACCATATATATTATTTGCTTGGTTTAGTATCCTGCCTTTTTGCCTATTAGACAGCTAACAATTAAAAAATATTCCTAAAAGCAGAAATCAAGCTGGGCACATATTCCAAGAAAGCACATTTGGTTGCTTAGGAATTACATAGGAGAAGGTTGTTTCCCAGGTGCCCAGCAGTTACCCCTCTAAAAGTGGGTGAAGACTTCTTTACAGGCTAAAAAAAAATACAAAACTTTGGAGTCCAGGTTAAGGCAGGTCCAAGCAATTTGATCTGCAAATTAAAGTTAACTGTCACAGCGAGCTATGAAGTGGTATGGCTCTTCTCCCCAACATCTCTCCAACATCAGCATGGAAAAGCATTGCTGCCTATTTCATGCAGATGTGATAGAGGGAGAAAAAGAAACATTCTTTGTGGCCTCCACTATACTGTAGTTAGAAATATTCTGAATTCTGGAGAGGACCATTTTCACAGATTCCCCCTCTCCTGCAGAGGTTCTTACAAACAATCAACTTAAAGCTGACCAGAAAGTGGTCAGGACAGTACGTAGAGTAATACAGACCTCCTTCATTTTCAGATTGTCAGTTCCACCTGAACAGAATAACAAACCCAGAACGTACTTTGCTGCATGGGTAGACTCAGATACAAATTGAGAAATGTCTGTAGTTGCCATAGTGAATATGAATCTGTGAGTTGCTTCCAGTAGGACCATTCAAAAGAACCACTTAATAAAAAGGAACCTGCATGATAAGGTACAGCATTAGAACTGCAGTGACTAAACTGGTGAGGTGGAGAGTTTTCATGCATTTGATGCTATTTCTTACGCTGATCTTTACCATAATCAGTGATTGTACATTCTGAGAATTTTGTTGAGTAGGGAGAGCTTCTGTAATACTTGTGGAAATAGTCAGACATGATCTCTCTTGTTGAGAGATTGTTTTTTCCCCAGATAGACTAGCAGCTTATGTTGTATTTAGTAAAAATAGTTTTTTTTTAAGTTGAAAAATGAACTGAAAACTTTCAGCTTTTTTAAACAAACAGGTAAATGGGTGTATGTAACCTGTTTTGAGCTTAACTGGATATAGCTTGCTTCCAGGAAGCAGTATGTTTACGTGTGCATGCATGCGTACAACTTTCTTGCATAAAGGGGATAGCCAGGATAAAGTCATATTTCAAGGGGCTGTCAGTTCTCTGATGGAATCTCTTTACTATCTTGGGAGATCCTGGTAGATTTATTTGGCAAATCCTACAGCTATAAACCCCAATGAATGCTAAGCCAATGGGGCTCATAGTGCCCTCAATGTAACATCACTTTGAGACACTGTCTTAAAACGATCATAGCTGCAACTAGATGTAGCCTGATATTTTTAAAGGGAGCTCAGAGTAGGAATCACCATTAAATTATGAACAGGGCAAGGTTCAGTTGCATATTTTGAGCAGTGTGAGTGCAGTGAAACAATTCTTTTCTTTTTTTTTCCAGACAAGAAGCCCTTCTAGCCGCCATTAGTGAAAAAGATGCCAACATTGCTCTCCTGGAGCTTTCATCCTCCAAGAAAAAAACTCAAGATGAAGTCGCTGCACTAAAACGCGAAAAAGACCGCTTGGTTCAGCAGCTAAAACAGCAGGTATTTTTGCAGTGCTGTGCAGCTTTTAGCTTGCCTATACAAATGCTCTTGATGCCTGCTTCTTCCAGCACTTCTTTCCTCTAGAGCTGTGTTTCTCCATCTTAGCCATTTTAAAATGTGTGGACTTCAACTCCCAGAATTCCCCAGTCAGCAAATGGTTAATTTGAGTGTCTGTTGCCACCATGGGGGGTGGGGGGGTTATTGGTTTTTTGTATCATGGGTTTTGATTCTGTAAGCTGCCCAGAGTCACTGTGTGTGAGTTGGGCAGCCATATAAATTTGTTTGTTTAATTAATTAATTAATTAATTAACTAAGAGATGAAATCTAGATGAGACACGTAGTTTTGCAGATGATTTGACAATCCATGCAAGTGGAATTCAGCTTCCATATTGATGCTTAGATAATATCCTCAGCTTATAGAATCTTTCAACTATACTTTTTTATGATCTGAAGAAATTTCTCAAAATGTTAGTCTTGCAGTAGGTCTTGAAAAGTGTACGAATACCCATTGTATGCTAAAGTTTAGGCATGGCTGGTAAAAGTGTATATCTAATGAGTCCTTAAGTGAATAGAAACTGACACAACCTCTACATGATACACACAATATCTTCCCCCAGATTTGATTGCATACTTATTCTTTATGTGCAATTATTTACAGCTTCAAAATAAGAAAATAGTAGACATACCCCTTCTAGCTCTGAAATACTCCCTAGTCTCCTTTAACATGTTGCACGCATTCTACAAATTTTCAGCAATATTAGTCTGGGAACTGTGAAGGCTATTCTAAAATCTTTATCCTTCTTTCCTAAGTACTTCACAATTGATTTGGAGGTATGTGTGAGAGATTGCAAGAAAAGGATGAGAAAGAAGTGGGAGGAATTTTAGACATAACCAACAGATGAAAAAGGAGTTTCTTAGTAGATTCTCATAAATGGCAAGCCTAACCCTAATAAAAGAGAGCTGAAGTTCCTATCACAGTTTCCACGATTCTGTACCTTTTCCCTAATTCTTGCATCAAAGCCCCTTATTGAAGCCTGTGTGATTCTTGCTTCCTTGATCTTGCCCTGCAGTATGTGGCTTGAAATAACATTTCAGATCATTGCCTTTCTGAAATATCCAATCCCTTTTCAGCTTCAGAATTCCAAAGGTGCCCACCAGTCCAGCAGCCATGTCTACTTGGCAGTTAATTTCTTCTGTCTCAAATTTTAAATTAAAATAAATCAGATCATTTACTGTTAGAGAAAAGAAATATTCTGATCCATATAAATGTTTAATTGAAAATGTTAGGTTTGGTAATTAAAACATACTGCAAATTATGGAGCACTCTGTAATGAAATTCTCCTTTGTTATAAGTATTCCTGCTATATTTGTCAGACTGTACCACTTTCTCATCTACTCCATAAGCAGATCATTTACTGTTAAAGAAAAGAAATACTTTTGTTTCTCTAATTTCTGAGTGCTTTACAAAGTTTGGACCAAGAACATTTTTCAGAAAGAAGATACTGCATTAATGTTACTTTAATTTAAAGTTCCTGAACTTGTTGCTGCATAGAGTTACATTTGTCAGAAAATACTGACCAGTGTGTTCCAGTAATACAGCTGCTTGTTAAAGATTTTTTGTCATTTTTTATGCATTATTTCCTAAATCACTGATAAGACAAATAATTGTCACCATATATTCTAGCCTCATAGTAACTGCTATCATCCATTCCCAAAATGTAGGTGGCTTGTCTTCTCAACTGGTTCATGATAGGATATACGTAGGTTGGGAAGCTGTTTTCTTATGATAGCATTACTATCTAATGAAGTCCAGATACGTTGATGAGTATAAGTGTGGTTCTGTTGGAGATAATGGAACTGGGGCAAGAATTGTGGCTGTTGAATTGGAGAGGAAATGGCAGTGAGGACATGGTGCAAACTGACTGGTTTCTCATGCTGGGAAGGGGAAGTTGAAGACAGCTGTTGTTGGAATCAGAAAAATAGAGAAGAAGATTAATGGCTGTCAAATTAAATTGCATTTAGGCAGTTTTGGCTGCTGAAGAATCACCAATTTCAAGGTAGATTGCAGGCTACCAAAGAGTTCTTGGCTGAAGGGAAGATAAAGTTGGAAAAGGATCGTGCCTATCCACCCAAAGGGAGAAGACGACCCAAGAAGAAGATCAATATTTTGCTAGCCATTGGAGCTGGCCAACTAAGCATAATCAATACCCTTGATTAACTCAGAAAGGGAGATTCAGTAATAAGTATAAATGCACAGGTAGGGGGCACACTATCTGCTTAAGGTAAATGTCATTTATATGATTAATCTCAAGGCTAAAAGAGAAATATTTTTCTATTGTTGAGTTATGTAATGAATAAAGAAAAGTGCTGTTCAGAAGATCTTTATATGCTGGAGTGTAGCTGGATGGATCCTGGATACCTGCACTGATGGCCAATAAGTTTCCAGGTATAATTCAGAATGTTGGTTTTAATCTACAATGTAGCTTTGTTTCTAGAAGACCGCTTCCCCCATGTAGAATTGTCAGCCTTTTGAGGTAGGCTAGGTCAGAAAACAGACTTAACAAGAACTACTGGTACTCTACTCTATTGATATAGGCTATAATAATAGAATCTTGAAAGCCTGGCAGTGTTTCCTCTTTCCCCCCTCTTGTAGGGAGTCAAGGTGGGACAGTGTTAAGTTTCTTTTTCATGTCTTCCCAGGCTTAATTCACACTTCGCTAATGGCCTTTACATTCTTTCTCCAAGGTCATTTATGTGATTCTTTACAAGAACTGACTTGTATTCTTGTCCTAGTTGTGGATTCTTTCTCTTCTCCATGGATGGTAGGTAAGATGGGTGGAGATCCAAAGTCAGTTTTTTTCCAGGGCATCCCCGACAATCTGGAACAATTTTCCTCAGATGTCTAACCCTGGTACCATTCCTTAAGACTTCCAAAACAGAACTTTTTGACAATGACTTTGAAAATTAGCATAGCCTGGGTAGTTGATGTTTGTGCTAATTACTGTCCTGTTGATTAGGACTTTTTATTGTATATGTTTTATTGGGGTTTTCTTCTTTGTTTTTAATTGGGATTTTTTGTTTTATTGCTTTGTAAACCATCATGGGTCATTTAGATCCGTTTAGTGGTACATAAGCATAGTAAATAAATAAATACTCTGCCCACATCTGTTTTTGAGAGTACCATTCCTGGTTTGAGTGTGCATATCTGCTTTAGATCAGTGTATATACTGTATTCTACAGGCCATTACAAAAGTAATGCATCTCAAATAAAAAGTTTCCACTTGGTAACATATACAACATGCGCTCAAGCAAATAAAATTCTGCTCAGTTGGATCTAATTACAGTTAGTTCATTTTGTAGTCTAACAAATTGAAATTTAATGTAAGAAAGAAATGTTCCTAATCTGTAGGACTGCATCTGAGCAATATGGATATACCAGTTTCACATAGGTTTGTCTAATCCCCTCCAAGATCATGAGCTGTTTTATAAGATCTTAGGATCTCCGATTTTTTTAAACGTCATTATTTTCTTTTAATACCTTCATACTTAATAACTGCAAAGTTGATACAACCTGTGCACACAGTATATAGAAGTTGTGAGAACTTGATATACTGTTTTAGTATGCTATTGTAACCTGGAAATTTAAAGCCACAGTATACGTTTTCCCAATGAGGTGCCCTCCAGAAATATTGGATTTAAATTTCATCCCCAGTCCAGTGGCATGAAGGTTGTCATAAAGCAATTCTTTTATGGTGTAACCTCGCTTAACATTGTTTTCCTTTGATTTTAGATTCTTTGGTTTCCCTATAATTCAGTACTGCATCCAATATAATATACAATATCAAGAATTCCCATTCTGAGCAAGGCCCTGAGTTATAAGCTCCTCTGTCCTCTACTGAGAATTCATTTGATAATTTCAAAGAAGTTATTTTTCAATTTCATGAGTGTAATACTGTGTTATCTGATAGGACTTTTTAAAACATATGTAAACATTTTTGTTCTGTCTAAAACACAATATATTCCTTGTTTTTGTAGCATGCATGCTAAACAAGGCTGCTTTTTAACAACCTTTAGTTAAATGCTTTGTAATTTCTCGGATTGCTGTTCTTTTATCTGTACGTCCAAGTCTTATACTAAATCTTCCTCGTCTTTATCTTTAATTCTGAAAACCAGAATGCTGAACTTCTGCCAAATTCTGGTGATAAAAACTCTTTATTTCCCAAGAATATATAAATATGTATTAATTAATTAAAATTGAAGGTGTTCTGTGTGTGATAAGTAACTTGTGTAGTTTTTAAATCCATGTTGTTTGTTTCTGTATCTCAGAAACAGTCAGCTTAGGTTTCAGTGAATTGCCTTACACTAGATTTAGAAGAATCTGACATTTGGGAGAACTTGGGAAAACTGGATTCAGATCAACTTCTTCGTGATTATCTGCTGTTTCTCATTCTTTCCAGATGTCTAAACTGCTACAAAATTCTGATACATTTGTTTCCTCTTTTAAACCTGATTTCTCCTTCCTATATTAGATCTTCTGCCTGTTATGATACCACTGGGATTTTATAAACTTTTGGCTTTCCTGGTTCTCCCTCAAAACCTCCAATTGTCAATAAATCAAGCTAAGGTTTGCAGCTTTTTTCTATTACCTCCTCTCTTCCTACTTTCGCTGCTTCTGTCCATGATTTGTAATATTTCTTTAACTGAACTTGCTGACCTACAGTAATGCCATCATCTCTGATGAGAGAAGGACACATAAATGAAAAAATGGCTCAGATTTCTCTTTTGGGGAAGTGGTTGGGTTGTTTTTTCCCTCCCCATTCCTGTAGACTACGTTCTCTTCTTTTTCCACAATCGTCTTTCTTTGGAATGAGTAGCTGTGTGCTGTCAATTTATATAATAGTCCAGTCCAGGATACTATTATAGCAGAATATCACACAGAAACTGATGCCAGCTGGGATTGTGTAAAGTGAAGTTAGCTTGGTCTCTACAGCAGTCATTTC